TTTCCTCTTCCAGAGTGAAACCGCAGCAGGGCCTTAGTGTCAACTGTTGCATTTCTTCTAGTAGCCATAGCTTTTTGTCTGGGTTGGGTTCGGTTTTTGTTATCTATTTTGTGGAAGGGGGGTGGCAAGAAAGAGAACATTCAGTTTTGCCCTCCCAAGGACTTGACATTGAGCCAACACCACCTTCTGCACTGACAAGGCTTAGTGGAAATGGAGACAAGCCTCATATAGACTTATTACCCCAATCTTAGTGAAGCCTTCGATTTGCACTTGAAACAGAAAATGGCCTGATGTAAAGTTTCTCTTCTTTTCCATGCCCTGGCTCGATCTTGGGTAGATGTGCACATGCACCTGTGTGGAGGAGTTAATATTTAACGGAGTGTTTAGAAGCCGGCCTGTAGGAGTGAGACAGAAGAAAAGCAAAAGGCACAGAAAACCAGATCCACCCCCCACCCCCACCTCTTCCACTAGCTAAAAAGTCAAAAGCCTTTATTTCCTTATCACTGGAAAGAAAGAAGTTGTTTTAGTCATATGATGGAATGAGTATTGCAAATGGGTGGGAGAATCCAGAATTGGGGTGTCTCTAGCTTGTCTCAGAGTCCCCATCTCAGGACCCTCCACGGGGATGCTGTGGGCTGCTTCAGGGAGCCATGAGGTCCCAGCAATGTAACACATGCGCAAAGCTGGTATGAGAAACTCCTCATGCTCATGGTGTGATTCCATCAGACACAAATGGTCTACAGCAGAAGCCCCAGCTGGAAGAAATTGGTAAGCCCCTACTGCACATTTAGGGATATTGCTTCTGACTTTGAAAATGATGTTCTGTTTCTTTGGTACAACATGGAGGTCACTGGGACAAGAAGCTGGGAGCAGTTTCCTTAGACAGCAAAGCCAGCCCATGGCCAAAGTTCAGTTGCTAAAGCTTTATGGGGGCTCCCGTTCAAGGGAAGCAAGAGTGAGGGCAAGAGAGAAATGAGATAGTGTATTGCTTAACTATGACTGTGTAACAAACTACCCCAAACCTTAGCAACTTGAGATAACACATATCCTTTATCTGATAGTTTCCTATGGATCAGGAATCTGGCTCTACTTAGCCAGGTGCACCTCACTCAGGGCTCTCACAGGCTACGGTTAAGATGTTGGCTGGGGCTGCAGTTGGTGCAAGACTTTCCTAGAGGCTCTGCTTTCAAGTTCACTTCTACGTCTATTGACAGGCCTCAGACCCTTGAAGACTGTTGGCTAGAGATGTCCGTTCTCTCCATAGAAACACAACTGACCTCCTTCCGGCAGAGGGAGAGATTTCTGTACGCCCTTTGTAACTTAGACTTGAAAGTGGCATCGCAACATGTTTGCCATGCTGGGAGGGGATTACACAAAAGCATGGATACCAGGAGGTTGGGTGTCACTGGGGGCCACCTCAGAGGCTGCCCACCATGGGGTAGGGAAAGACAGAGAGCAAATTGGGATACTCTACCAAGCTGGCCATGGTCATGTCCAGAGACTTCCTGGAGCCCAGAGACTTGGAATAGTCTATGAGGAGAGAGCAGGGTGAGGGCACAATGTTGGATCCCCAGGGTGACTCTAACAAAGTGCCACCCCCTGGGGGTCTTGAAGCAACAGAAATAGATCGTCTCATAGTTCTAGAGGCCAGAGGTCTAGGATTAGGTTGTTGGTAGGGCTCCCTTCCAGGGAGGAGACTTTGAGGCCTCCTCTGGCTTCTGGTAGCTGCCAGCGGTCAATGGCATACCTTGCCTTATAGACGCAGCACCCCAATCACAGCCTCTGTTGTCACATGGCCATCGACCCTCTCTGTATCTCTCTCTCCTCTTCGTATGAGGACACTAGTCATTGGATTAGGAGCCCACCCTACTCTGGTATGACCTCATCTTAACTAATTATATCTACAATGAGCCTATTTCCAAATAAGGTCACATTCTGAGGTTCTGGGAGTGCAGGACTTCAACCCATCTTTTGGGAAACGGGATTCGGTGTCCATCTCCTGCCTCTCACTGGCTAAAGTGTCAACCCACCCTTGCCCCAGCCCAGCCCCAAGACCATGAACTCCTCTGCACTTGTGGGCGGTGTGGCCCAGTTCCTTCAGGTAGTAGCTGGGGATACCAGAGATTCCATCCATTCATGAACTGGCTTGGCCCTCTCTCTTAGCCACTTGATCCTGCTTATTGGGGGAGGGGGCTTGGTGGTACATGGAGGTGGAGAGAGGGTCAGATAGCAGCTAGGAGAACTAGATCAGCCATTGCTAAGGCTCCATTTTCTGGGAAGCCAGAGATACAGGCCAAGTATGAGGGCCTGTATCTTCATCAGCTGCTGTTGTGCTATCCCAGCACCAAGCACGGAGTGGACATGTACTGATTCTTTAGAAAATATTTTCCAAATGACTGAATCAATGAGTTACTTCAGTGCCTCTCCTACCCTCTCACCCCTCCAAGGCACATCCCTGAGCACCCACCATTGTACCTTGCCCTAACTGGGGTCTTCACTGGGAGGAAGAGTCACCCTTTGGCCAAAACATGAAGGTTCCCATCTCTTCCCCAATACAGGAAGGGCCATATGAGAGAGCCTGGAGTGGACCATATGAGAGAGCCTAGAAAGTTGGTGAGCCAATGTCAGCATGAGTGGTGAGGGTCTAAACTAGGAATAGAAGTGAAGGATTGTGTATAGGAGATGTTAGGGAGGAGGTGGAGTGGACATGGTGCCTGTGTGGGAGGTCCAGCCAGAGAATGGAATCAAGGAAGATTCCAAGGACTCTAATCCTTGAGGGTGGAGCCCTGGGAGAAACTTAATCCTTTGGGAGTGCCTTAGTTTAGGTTCTCCTGTAGTAGTTTATTTTGGAGACAGTCCCAAGAAACATTGGCAAGAGAATGAGGAAGGAGCAAGGGAAAGAAGGAAGTCGGTGGCCACCATGACCAAGTGGAACTTGATCTCCCCTTCCCTGCAGAGAACTCTGAGAACAGGTGTAAGATGCATGCCGCCTGCGAATCAAGGACTTGAACCCTGGCTCTGCCACTTGTTAACTTCATGATCTTGAGCAAGTTATGTTACCTCTCTGTGCCTTGATTTCCCCCTCTGTTAAAATGAAGGATAGTAAGAGCTCTTCATAGATTGGTTGTAAAGACTACATGAGTTAACGGAACTGTCCCTGGTGCTTAATGAGGCCTTTATGAAGGTTAACTATGCTGAGTATTCATTGCACTCCCTGGGTCAGAAATGCCAGGTAAAGATGGCTCACAGTTTTATTAGAAAGTAACTCGCTCCGGGGCGCCTGGGTGGCTTAGTCGGTTAAGCGTCTGACTTTCGCTTAGGTCATGATCTCGCGGTTCGTGGGTTTGAGCCCCGCGTCGGGCTCTGTGCTGACTGCCAGCTCAGAGCCTGGAGCCTGTTTCAGAGTCTGTCACTCCCTCTCTCTCTGACCCTCCCCTGCTCACGCTGTCTCTCTCTCTCTCTCTCTCTTAGAAATAAATAAAACATTAAAAAAAAAAAAGAAAGTAACTTGCTCCTAAACCTCATTTTTAAAGTCTTAATTGAGGTCCATAACCTCTGGCAACACGCTGGTTTGAAATGACAAATAACATAAAAACCCACCACTCGTGTTTCAATTCGGTGTAAGAAACATTAGCTGAGAAGAGCAGAAAGGTCAGGAGAGTGAATTTCAAGGCCAGGAGCGCAGGGAGAGAGCACAGGTTCAGGAGTGACTTGGCTCTCCACTCACTGGGAGAGCTCAGAGCATCCAGGGCCACATGCTCCTAGGGAGGAGGCTTCAGTTTTCTGGGTCTTGGTTTCTGATCCATCAAATGGGACTATTCTGTCCTGTTCCTTCTGCAGAGCTTGTATTCTAAAAGGCATTCTGGGCAAGGGGACTCCATAAGCTGTGTCCTGGGAGCCTGAAAGCAAGGGAGTGAGGCCCGGGATGCTCGGGAGGCAGGATGCTTGGGAAGGGGGGGTTCCATGGGGTTAGGGCAGTGTGCCAACAGGACTCCCCGCTGAATAAGACAACACTGGTGGTTGTCTGGTGGGACTCTGGTGGTTGTCTCCTTTTCTGCCCTAGAAATGAGAGGTTTCTCTCTCTGAGGCAGAGAGGAAGATGTGGAGCCCCCAGAAGGCACCCTGAAATACTGAGCCTTTTGTCAGACACTTCTAAACCTGTGGTTGGGAAATGAAAATGCTAATTAAACTCAGGGCTTTAAAGGCCTTTACAGGATGAGATCAAGAATGGAAGGTTGGAAGCTGAGGTTTGCGGCAGAATGGAGAGCTCACCCCTATTCAAGAATGCAAACGAGCCATTGTGTCTCAAACACACACACACACACACACACACACACACACACACACACCCTCACTTCTGAGATTTTAGCTTAGACCTCCTGCAAACAATCACTAGAAAGAATGCCTCTGATGACAGAATTCCAGACCGAGGGAAAACTAGTGAGCAAACACCGACCCACTTTCTCTGTTGCACGAATGGCTCAGGGCCCATCTCCACTCCCAGGAAGAAACTGCCAGCTTTGAAAAGCCATTTCTGCAAAGTGTCTTGGTGCTTGAGGTATTTATAGACATTTCAGAACATGAAAAGCCCTTGAAGAGGAGAAAGGCACCCCTAACACTCCTGCTTGACCAACCCTGAGGCCATCTCCCCACCCCACTATTAGGACACTTTTGGAAACTTCAAGAAAACAAAGGGTTTGGATTTCTTTTGCTGTGTGGAGTTTTTTAATGATTTATTTCTTCTAATGCACTAAGACAAATCAGTTTCTTTTCTTTAACATTTTTAAAGTTTATTTAGTTATTTTGAGAGAGAGAGAGATGGAAGAGCAGAGAAAGAGGGAGAGAGAGAGAATTCCAAGCAGGCTCTGCACTGTAAATGCAGAGCCCGGCATGGAGCTCAGACTCATGAACTGTGAGATCATGACCCAAGCTGTAACCAAGAGCCAGATGCTCAACCGACTGAGCCACCAAGGCGCCCCAGGACAAACCAGTTTCAAAAGAAGAAGATAAAATGTTGACTTTATTTCACCATGGAAAATATGTGCTCAGAGGTAAGAGTCATCTTATATAAAACAATCTAAATAAATAAATAAATAAATATAAATAAGAGTTGCTTCAAAGGGGCTCAGGGAGTTGATGAAGAATCAGACGCAGATGTCTGCAGCCAGCACTTCCTCTTAATACCTTCTCAGCACTGTGCAGGGAGAGAAAGGGTGATGATGGTGTCAGGTGGAAAACTGAGGCAGGATCTGAGCTTCCCCCCACTGGGTGCGATCCCTGCCACCATCCCCCATCCGCAGCTGATCTGGGTGTTTGAGGCTTTAGGATAATATATCTCTCTGGACCTCAGTCTCCTCATCTGTAAACTGGGAATTATTGCTGCCCTGGTGATCCCGACCTCTGCCTTTGTGGCTATAGACAGGCTATGGGAAACCAGGAGGAAAGTGTTTAGGACTCTTTCTGCTCCAAGGAGATGCTGCCAGACAGTGAGTGGATTCCATCCTAAGGTGATTCTGCCCCTTTTGGTCAGAGAGGGAAGAGGTGGCTAGAAGGTGGGTAGGGACTCATGGACATAGTCATGAATGATGTCCACATTTAATGCTTCCAGAAGGGCACTCCTTGGCCCTAAGCACTGTCAGCAAGAGAGAGTAATGTCCGAGTGTCCTTTTCTCAGGGTGTGGTTTCCAGAGATTAAACCCAGAAGTGTTTCCGATGGTGGAATCCACAGGAATGGGGGAGGGGGGGCTGGGGGAGCCAAGGTGGCGGGAGGGGGCTTACCGTTGCAGCCCAGGCCACTGAGGGAACCAATCCGGTCCAGCCTCCGGCCAAAGCAGCCTGAATCACGCATCATCTTGGGACCACCCAGTCGTCTCAGGGCCCGGAGGACATTGTCACGGGATACAAGGACCCCTGCAGCGGGTTCCTCCTGGACCTCCCAGGATTCTGCGGGGCTCTGGCCCTGCCGGGGGGGTCCCAGGGCCATCTGCTCCTCCTGCAGCTCGGAAACTGTGTCCCGCAGACCGTTCAGGAGCTCCTGTAACGGGTGGGGACAGCCGCGGCCTCAGCAGCCGGCACCTGGGCCAAACCACCCTAGACAGCGCAGAGATGAACCAGCCACCCGGGGTAGGGGTCCTGGCACCCAGGCCGGTTGCTTTCTGCTTCCCTTATCACTAATTCGCTGGCGGAGGGGGGGGCTGAGGACTCCTTGGGACAGTAGCTCAGGACCCGTTAACTGTTGCCACGCGCAGCGGCCTGTGAGCAGGCTGCAGCTCTCACCTGTACTGCGGACGCTTCCGAGTCGGGGCCAGCGCTGCCCAGCGGGTGGGAGCGACCTCCTGGAGGCAACAGGTGCGAGCACAGGAGGAGCAGGAGAGCCCGCAGCAGCGCCGCCCTGGGGTCCATGTCGCTGGGGAGAAGCGGGGAAGGAGACCGTGGCCGCCGCCGCTGCTGCGCTGTGTTCCGGGTCACGTCTCACCTCCTAGAGGCCGGCGCGCGCTCTCCCGGATCCCGGGACAACGTCGGCCTTTTATCCCGGGCCTGGGGTTATCTCTGATTTATCGGCTGCATTCCGGCACGCTGAGCTCAGGGCGGGGGAATGCACCGCTCCGCGCCCGCGACCGTACTCGCTGGGGGTGGGTGCCGGCGAGAGCAGGCCTTGTATAGAAATGGGTCTGGGCGGGGGGGGGGGGGGGGGGGCGCGCGGGGGACACACCAGCAGGTCCCTGGCCTCCCGCTTCCTCCTCTCCAGCAAAACTCCCAGGGCCTTTCCTCCCCACCCCCAACCATTCCTGGAGAGGGCAGACACACCTGCAGCGTTCTGAGGCCCACGACGCAAGTGCGGGGCGCATGGAGTGACTCAGAGCAAGAACAGTCCCAGCCGACCCCCCCCCCCCCCCCCCACTCCTCGGAGCGCCTCTTCCCTTCTTCCCTCCCCGCGCCTGCCTGTAACTCGGCACCGGCTCCGCTCTCCGCACCCTGCGCCTCGGCGGGTCTTCCGGGCATCCTGACCGCTGTCCGTGGTTCTGATGGTTCTGAGCAAACCGAACGAAGAGGTCTTGCTCTCCTCAAGTCAAGGCTGGCCGGAAAGACAAGCATGAAGCAGAGACCTCTAAGCCCCCTCCCCATCCTCTCACAACTGCCTGCACCAGGATGCTAATTCTCCAGTGTCATCTGATTAAAAGCCAGGGTATGACAAGGAACTTCTGGAATGCTGACCCTGCTTCCATCCCTTAAACGGTAGAGCTGATTTAGCTGGAATTTTGAGAGGCAAGGCCCAGAGATGAAGTCATCCAGGAATGCCTTCTATCAAACCTCCTCCAGGTGCCAACACTTCATCTCCCCCACCAAGCCAACAGATGATGGGAAGAAAGCAAGGATGACTGGAAGATGGTTATCTATTTGATGGGACACTACGGGTATGAGGAGTGCCCCTCCCCAGTGCCTCCCTCATCTGACCACCCGTGACCTAATTCCCATTAGTAGATGGTCTTCTGTCTGTGATTACAAATGAGGCTACAAGGAAAAATGGCCCTGGGAAGAGACACAGCAGCATACATGACTGATGTGACCACCCCCTCCAGATGCCTTGCGTTGACAAGCAGCAGCATGAGAGAATGGGATATGGGTGATGGAGGAAAGGCAGTAAAGGGCAGAAGCAGTGACCTTTAGGCAAATCTTACCTTCAAAAAAGAGCATCTACCAGATATGTGAGAAAAATTTGGTTACTGTTTTTCATGTTTTATTTTTTAAATGTATTTTTATTTATTTCTGAGAGAGAGAGAGAGAGAGAGAGAGACAGTGTGAGCATGGATGGGTCAAAGAGAGAGGGAGATACGGAATCTGAAACAGGCTCCAGGCTCTTAGCTGGCTGTCAGCACAGAGCCCGATGTGGGGCTTGAACCCACAAACTGTGAGATCATGACCTGAGCCGAAGTTGGACGCTTAACCAACTGAGCCACCCAGGCGCTCCCGTTTTTCATTTTTTAAATGAGGAAACAGGGGCACCTGGGTGGGTCAGTCAGTTAAGCATCTGACTCTTGATTTGGCTCAGGTCATGACCTCACAGTTTGTGGGTTCAAGCCTTATGTTAGGCTCTGTTCTGATGGTGGGGAGCCTGCTTGGGATTCTCTCTCTCTCTCTCTCTCTCTCTGCCTCTCCCCACTTGTGTGTGCTCTCTCTCTCTCTCTCACTCTCTCTCTTCCCCCCCTTCTTTCTCAAAACGAACAAACAAGCTTTTTTTTTAAAATGAGGAAATAGAGCTCAGAGGAATTAATCTGCTTTCTTAGTTGACAAGTGGCAAAGCTTGGGTTCCAACCCAGGCAGTCTGATTGCAGACTTGACCCTCTTAACCACTTCCAGGGTGATTGCAAGGGGTTTCTACTAACAGAAAAAGTAGATTAATCCCCTGTCATTTCCAAAGGTACAGAAAGCTGTGCCATAAGGGATGTGTAAGTTGGTGGCTCTGTGTGTGCAAGAAAAAAGATGTAAAGTGTGGCTGAGATGACCATTTTGAAGATGAGAGCAGGGAGGGTACAAGCTCCATAAAGATACCAGTCCCGGGAAGATTTTGGGGGCTGGAGGTGTGTGTGTGTGTGTGTGTGTGTGTGTGTGTGTGTGTGTGTGCATGCGCGCACATACACCACAGGAAGAATATCCAAAGATTAAGTGGAAGTGAAAGAGAAAACAAAATCCAGTCAAGTGGTAGAGCTAAGTCAGAGGGTCAAAGGCTGCTGAGGATGTAGAGTCCCTCATGCTTATGTCAGAAGTAAAGTGTTGGAAGCAAGACAGAGTCCATCAACCAGCATCTGTCAAGAAATGACCCTTTATGTAACCTGAGCCTCCCTTTGCTCTACTGCAAAGTGGACACGTGCTCCCTCCTTTCAAGGACTACAAGAGAGAAAATGATGTCTGTGAAAAGCCCAGGGCATCATGGGAACAGACAAAGAATTAGGAATACAATTGCACTAAAGGAGACTGTGATCTCACTGGGAGAAGAGAGGTCAGGGAAACAATTAAGTGTGCTAAGGACTCTGACAGAGCCTTTGCCTGCCTCCGCAGGGGGGTATTGTGGAGAAGATTTTAGGGAAGACACAGAACTGGATATGTCCTTCAGGACCTTCTGTCCAGTGAAGAACAGTATATTATCAATCAGCTCTCACACCAGGTCATCCCCACAAACACTTATGAGTACCTACTGTGCGCCATGCATCCTCCACTCCTATTATGTGGAGTTAATCATAGCATCTATGTCACAACATTACTGCACAAGGGTTAAATGAGATGATATATGTGGTAGACTGCATAATGTTCACCAAAGATGCCCATGTCCCAATCTCAAGAAACTGTGACTATGTCACTTAATATGACAAAGGGGGCTTTGTACATGTGATTAAAGATCTGGAGGTGGGAAAAATTATTGGGGTGTCTAAGGTAATCACAAGGGTCTTTATAAGATGGAAGTTGGAGGATCAGGGTCAGAGAGAGAAAAATGGAAAGATGGAAACAAAGGTTGGGGGTGAGAGAAGATTCTATACTACTGATGGCATCTTTGAAGATGGAGGAAGAAGTCATGAGTGTAACGGGCCTCTAGAAGGGAGGGAAAGCAAAGAAAGGGGTTCTTCCCTAGAGCCTCCAGAAGGATCACAGACCTGCCTGCCAATGCCTTGAGCTTAACCCATTGAAACATATTTCAGACTTCTGATCTCCAGAGCTGGAGGAAAATAAATTTGTTGTTTTAAGGCACTAAGTTTGCGGTAATTTGTTTCAGTAGTAATATGCAATTAATCCAATACATGCAAAATGCTGAGCATAGTGCCTGATACTTAATAGGCCTTCCATAAAGGTGGTCATGGTGGCAACGTTGGTTCTTACCAGAGACAAACCTCAGGTGCTAGGTGCTGGTTACAGAGAAAGAAATAAACCACTTAATCCATTCAACAAGCCTTTATTGGAGGCATGGGGTCCCAGGGGTCTGGAGTCTGGACTCTGAAATCAGACTGCCTAGATTCAACAACACCTCAACCTTTTGCTCCTTATGGGATCTCAGGCAAGTTATGGCACATCTCTTCATGTTTTCTCATGTCTGTGTCACATGGTTGTCGTGAAGAGGGAATGAGACACTTGCAGGCAAAACAGCTTTCTGCTGGAAAGTGGGGACATTGAATGGACAAGGCAAATTCCGCTCTTGGTGGGTATGCAGTGCAGGGAGAGATGCAGTCACAGACTCCCCAGGGTGGTGTGGCCATCGAGTCCTGGGTGCTCTGTAAGCACAGCAGGAGCACTCAGTTGAGGGGGGAGCTTCCTGAAGAAGGTAGTATTGAGCTAAGTCTTTGAAGGATAAGAAAGAATTATCCATGAGAAGGAAGATGAGGAGGACGTCTTGGGGGCTGCTTAGCTCATCAACTACCACCTCTAGTCTCTCAGTCCATTTGGGCTGCCACATAACAAAATGCCATAGACTGGGTGATTTATAAGCAGCAGAACTGTATTTCTCATAATTCTAGAGGCTGGAAAGTCCAAGATCAAGGTGCTGGTAGATTCCATGTTGAGCGAGAGCCCTTTTACTGGTTCACAAGCACTGTCTTTCCTCCGTAACCTCAAAGGACAGAAGGGACAAGGGAGCTCTCTGGGGTCCCTTTTATAAGGGCACTAATCCCATTGTAAGGGCTCCACCCCCATGACCTAATCACCTTCCAAAGGTCCCACCTCCTAACACCCTCACATCGGGGAAATAGGTTTCAACATATGAATTTGTGGGGGAGGGGACACAGACACAGTGTGTAGCATCTAGGCTCTTGGGAGAAGGGAGAAGATGCAGAAAAGGAAAGGTTTGGGGCACATGTGCTGAGCTACTTCTCCTTAGCTCCCCTCTGACTCTGACCTCCAGCCCTGGGCAGCCACAGAGGGCAGCAAGAGAGCGCTGACCTCCAGAGAAAGGGGAAGGAGGAAGCAAGGAGCACTGCCCAGAGAGTCAGCAGGTGGTAAGTCTCTGCCCACTGCCGTGTCGTGGTGTGGCTTTTATGCACATCATTTCTCTGCTCTGGGACTCTGTTTCCCCTTGTGTAGAATGAAGGAATTAAATGAAGGTTTCTCACAGGTTCAAAAGCCTTGGGAGTCAGCTGTCCCTAGTTCATGGTTAGGTCTGCTCACCGGCTCCCAGCCCCCACTAGTACCTCCATCTCCTGTGACTCCTTACACTTTGGCCAAAAGTCAGGAAATACCTACAGAGGAGCCATCAGATCCTTCACAGCTGTGGCATTAATGCAGGTGTGCATGTGTGTGTGCGTGTGTGTGTTGGGGGTGCTTTGGAAACCAGCATGAGTGTGCAGCTCTTCTCTGCTCATGAAGTGAATCTCTAAACTGATGGTTATCAGAGGGAAGGCTGAGGTCAGTAGCCTGGAAGAAAATAGCTATTAACTCTTCCCATCCCGGGTCCAGCCTCCCCAGCAATATCTGAAGTGTCTGAGTGTAATTTCTATTTCTTTTTTTTTGCGAAAGTCGGACGCTCAACCGACTAAGCCACCCAGGCGCCCCTGTAATTTCTATTTCTATAGAAATTACATTTCTCATTTCTATAACCTCATAAGGGAAAAGAGTTCTGAAAGGGTCACTTTATCCTTCCCACCATCTCCAGAAAGGACTGCACTCATACTGTCCCTCTAGCTGACATCCCGGTTGAGATCATCGGAGCTCCTGGACGCAGAAATGCCCGAAGTTAATCTACTTCAGCCTTTGCAGTTTGTGAGCCAGTAAATCTGCACC